GGAAGTAAATCGATACCGCTATCCTTGCCTGAGGATAGGGCTGTTTCAAGAATTAAATCGATGGCAAAGTTAAATAGAAACAGAGAGAGAGAAAAAGGAAACCCTGAAGAACGCCCCTTTCAGTGGTGGACTATGGTGAAAACGTGCCGTAAACTCGGACTAGACGTCCGCTGTTAGTATAAAGCGATCATAATATTGAAATAAACTTCTCAGGCACACCCTTGAGGGAAAGGCAGTGCCAGAGTTTAGAGCGGTCGACTGAGTCGAAAGCCGGGTTCAAATCGAGAAGAACAGAGATGGTGGGTCTACGAAAGGAATGTCGATGCTCCAGAATTTGGCGATACAACCTCTACCGGGTCTAAAACCAGCCTGGTTCTCACGCGTGCACTGTTCACATGCGGCAGACAATCAACGGAGTATGACGCCGGCGAGAAGTTTAGATACAATGTTGATTAAACTAATTCCTCTTTGGTTTTCACAAGAGGATCTGTTACCTTTCTTGTAAATAGATATGTTCGCCGATTCATACTATTCAGCTGGAACCTCTTCCCTCTCCCACACTGAGCCCAGGAGTTTTGTCAACTCCAAAACCAAGGCTGAACCTCCATCCTTAAAAATCGATGGGAACAGCCCGTCGGGGCCGGAAGCCTTATGCCGTTAGAGATAACTTATTTCTCGGGTAACCTCCATTTCAGATGGAGGAGTGGCATCAACTGGCAGTAATTGCCCAGTTGCGGTGCAGGGTGACTGTTCAGAGGTCGATGGGGCCAGTTGAACTAAGCCTCGAAATGTTCAGTCCGTCGATCAAGACAGTGTTCCTGATCGTGAATCAGTGTGCCATCGGATTTTTTAATTACCTCACTGACACCTATTTTCCTGGGGCCTGTATTCCTAATTAGACAGACCAATAGCCGCAGCTTTATCCATCTCTCTACACTTCCCTATCCACCACTTCTCGCGGTCATTCCTCAGACTCTTGATGAGCTGGCGTTTGAGCGATTTACGCGCTGTGTCATATGTGGCATCCGGAGGAAGGGTTCTGCGGGCGTCCAACAGGGCAGCCGAGGTCGATGAGATCCATGTTTTGTGTTTTGAGCCTGAACGAGGGTCTGACGTTATTTTTATCGATATTTGCATAGCCTCCGTTAGTTGTCTCCATTGTACATAAAGTCCTTGGGCTAGCGGTTGAACTGACAGGCGATCGGAGAGTTTCGCTTCGAAGGCTGATTTACAACAATCTCCGACGTTGTATCGTGGGTATCCGTTGTCGGTGGCTTTCCTGCGGCTAATTGCCAGTCGTTGAGCAGGCCACTAGCGTCAGCTCCTCACACAGATCTTCCGGCACATGTCCCATGATCTGTCTGAACACACCCACCTTTTGAGGCGGAAATCCGTAAGGACATCCAAGCCTTGGGACGTCACAAAGCGTTCGGCTCTGATGGCCTTCCCCGTGCTCTATTTAAAGATGGTGGAATAGCGCTTGTTAGAGAACTATAAATTCTGTTCTCTAAAGTTTGGAACACTGTGCAAGTCCCCTCTTCGTAGAGGGGGGGAGTCGATCGACGTCCCCATGTTCAAAAGGGCACGCGCAATGACTGCGCCAATCATGGGGGTATAAGCTTGATGCCAATGGCGTCAAAGCTGTTGGCGTCCGTCATTCTCTACCGATTGTACACTACGCATGAGGAGCAGGCTGGGTTTCGCGCTGGTCGTGGATTCATCGATCAAATTTTCACCCTCCGACAGCTGTTAGAGTACTGTCATGCATACCAAAAACCAAAGATCACTGTATTTTTAGACATCTGTGCGGTTTTCGATTCTATCGATAGGACCGCGCTATGGAACTGTTTGTTGAGGAATGGAGTACCAGAGAAGTGCGTCGATCCTCAAAGAGTTGTATCGTCATATCTCAGGTCGGGTTAGGGCCTATGGCCAACTTTCGCAACTCTTCGCCGTCTCCAGTGGAGTTCGACAAAGCTGCCCTATATCCCCATTCCTTTTCAACTTCGCCATAGAGGATATTCTACAGGATGCTTTGTCCAGTCTAGCAAGCGGTGGAGTCGAACTCCCAGGGAACAGAGAATACGCCGATTATATCGCCTCACTGGGTGACAACACACAGGCAGTCCAAGACGCTTTAAACCGCTTGGAGATCGAGGTATCCAGGTATGGCATGTGCTTTGCACCATCAAAGTGTAAAACGCTGGTACAAGACTGGCAGGAGCCTGTGTCTGCACTCACCCTGTGGCGATCAGGTGGAAGTAGTGGAGAGTTTTAAGTGCCTCGGGAGCTTGATTGTAGCTGGCGGGGTGTTGGGGACGAGATCACATCACGAATAGCGAAAGCTAGAACAGCTTTCGCCAACCTGCGACACTTGTGGCGCCGCCATGACATCCGATTGTCCCTTAAGGGAAGGGTGTACATCGCCACAGTTTGTAGCGTTTTGCTTTACGGTTACGAGACCTGGCCTCTCCGAGCGGAAGATGCTAATCGACTTTCT